TCGACCAGTCACTCTGGTCAGAGCCTGTCACCCTTCACATAACCGTGACGGGGGCCGACATTGTCTACCAGATACCTTTGACCCAGTGTTGACGTCACACTTCAAAGAAGCCATGTGACAAGCCTCACTGGGTCAGTCTACTGAGGAAGACCAGAGTGACTGGTCCAAATCTCTAGGCGAGAACATAAATTCCCATTTGTGTTGGAAAAAATGTTTTTACCGTTAAACCTGTAACTCCCAAGTAAACACAGATAATCTTTCATGATAGTATCAACATCTGTAATCCCAACACCCTTCATCACTATGAAGACTGAATGTTAATTTGTAACATCACCATACAGGTTGTCCAATGTGAACAGTTAGAGCGATATTAAGGCCACACCAATTCAGTTTGTTGGTTCTCAGATTTTTTTCAGGAAAAATATGAAGCGACAGGGCGAAAAAAATGAAAATAAAAAAAAAACAGGTCTTGATATCCTCTGATAGCCTCAAATGCTACTATAGGAGCCACGAAGTCAACACAAAAAGCTGAGTTATGAATTTTGAACTTTTAATCACTGTAACAACTAGGAAGAAAAGGACTTCCCTCAACTGTTTGGGGCAAAATATGAGCATTTTTGAGTTGATTCAGGACCAATCTTTTCTAATGCAAATCAAGAAAAAAAAAATGATGAGGCGAATCCGAGAACCAACAAATTAAATTGGTGTGGCCTAAGGAACAAACAGGATATCTTTGCCTGTTGTAGTCACTGCATAACGTTACAGATACAACACAAAACAACTTTAACTTATCAGTCTCATGTTCAAACACTTAGTAAAATTAACATTAAATTTACTACTCAGTAGTAAAAGAATGATAATCCAGTTTAATATATTATTATATCTTTAGCTGCTAATCAATATCAACCAATAACACGATATAAGCATTAACAACGAGTAGTACCAGTAATACATAATGTATAATAGAGAAAGATATTAAACACAATACATGTTCCCATTCTGATAATTAAGCATTGCATTGGAGTTGCATGTTAAATCTGGAATACAATCAAGAGATTCTTCCAAAATTTCTATCAAGAATGCTATTTTGCCTGCAAAAATCAGCACTAAGGATGAACAGAAATACAAAATGTATACTGTTACCACCTTGAAATAAACAGTAAAATATGATTATTAATAACCATTTATACAAACCTAACACTTCTAATCACACATTATCAAGTCTAATTACATAATGCAGCGATATCATATGCATTACAAATCAACATTACGTCGAGCACTTAACGATATATTCAATGATTATAAAAACTGCACTTAGTGATTTTATAACTTATTTTTTGTACATGAACTGCAATGAACCACATAACATAAAGTCAAACTCACTGACATTATTTTTTTTAACAGAAAATACTGCATTGCACAGAGCATGAAAAGTACAGTCCAAGCTTGATTGCCAAAAATGCACACCAGTTTTCTGACTGTTGCCTAAACCTACATGTACATGTATAGCCAATACAAATTTGGTACTAAGGCCACACCAATTTAATTTTTTGTTTCTCGGATTCTTTCAGAAAAATATGAAAGGACGGGAAAAAAAATAAAAATAAGAACAGGTCTAGGCATCCTATTATAGGCCCAAATGCTATGATAGGAGCCATGAAGTTAACACAAAAGGCTGGGTTGATATAAACAATGAATTTTGAACTTTTAATCAAACCACTGCATTGATAGAGAAAAATGTAACAACTAGGAAGAAAAGTACTTTCCTCAAATATGAGCATATTTGAGTTGATTCAGAACCAGAATTTTTTTTTTTCAAATCAGAAAAACAAATTAAATTGGTGTGGCCCAAGTTAAAAAAAACCTCATACATGGAATCAGATGCATTTATCTAGTGAAAGCTACATTGTAAATTCTGCATTGTAAAACTAAAGAATCAATTGAAAACACTTTGGACAATCAAGAATGAACTGCACTTTTTTAAGGCCACAAATAATGCCCCCTATCAATCATACATGGCACTGCAGGTACATGTAGCAACTGAGGTAGCGTGGCAGCACCATTGAAAGCTAGCAGTACTAACATTAGGCCTGAGACGTGACAATCAACAGTAAGATTATGAAAATCATAAAGGCAGAAAAAGTCGCAAAGGTACATGTACTAGCTATGAAACATTGTGTATAAAAAGGAATTAAAAAAAGCTTGTACTGGTACTATTGTCAAAGTAAGGCCATGTTGATTTGATTATATGGATGACATCCTCCGGGAACCCCAAAACTGATGCAAGCGTGCGAATAAAAAAAGTTTGGCTAAACAAAGTTCCCTTAGCTTATTATCAAATTTACGTAGTTATGAAGGTTGAACAAATGACTAAACACACAGAGTATGGTATGGCAAGTAATAGATTCTTCATTTTCATTTCTTCACATTCTATTCTTTAAAATTTCCTTAGAATTGATTTTGCCATTCTACGACAGTAGTGTCATTTTCCAATACATGTATTTTGAATTTTCAGCATATATTTGCTCATTTTGCAGCTGCTTTATATGATTTACAGTATGGTCAAAAACTTTGGAAATGGACAAAACTTCATGCGCATGCGGATGTCACCCATATAATCAAAATTAATCAACATACACTAAGAGCTAGAGCTGTCCTTTAATTAAAATGACAGTTCTAGTAACCAACCTTCCTCTGTATATATATAGGTTACAACATTAAAATGATACCTGCAAGACTGCATTTCATTTCATTGCATGGAAAATTTTACTGCAAATTGGACCAATCTCTTTGTAATTACTCAATACGATCTTTCTTACTCTGAAAATTGCAAAAAAAAAATCAAGCTTAAAGCCAGCAAAAGCATTGATTTGTTCCCAATATAATCATCATGTGAAATGTGTTGCAATATCATGAATATTGGTTAATATTTTTTTTCAATCACCCAGACTGTCCCAGCAATTTTAAATTTTGTACTTTGACAAAGAAATCAGATTATATCAAAGCAGGAGTTTCAGTTATTGAAACTGTCCTCTGGTCAGTGTGTAACAGAGTTAAGTCTTGATATTAATCTCTTGGATAGAGTGTAAAAATTCTACCCAATCCGACATCTTTGACAGACCAAAAGATATGCAAGATGTCATTGAACTAAGCTTAGTCTACCAGCAAAAATTGAGCCTTAAAATCTAGGTATTTCAAAAGGTCAAGATTTTGAAATATTCTTGGGCCACACCAATTCAATTTCTTGGTTAACGGACTTTTCTATTCTAGAAAAATAATGGAGCGGGCGGGAAAAAAAAAAAAAAAACAGGCCTAGGCATCCTGTTATTGCCCAAAATGCTGCGATAGGAGCCATGAAGTCAACAATGGATTTTGAACTTTTAATGATACCACTGCATTGAATGATGGAATTACTGTAACAACTAGGAAGAAATGGACTGTTTTCAACTGTTCAGGGCAAAATATGAGCATTTTGCAGTTGATTCTGATTTTTTTTTTGCAAATAAAAAAAAATGAAGCGGGCAAATCCGTTAACCAAGAAATTCAATTGGTGTGGCCTTTGAGGAGCAAACAAATTTGAGTTGAGGGGAAAAAAAATTCCAGCTGGCTAGAACACTGGAATATTCCCCCTTCTCACCAGGTAATTTGCAGACCAGATTTACTTGGTCCACATTATTCTATACCTTCTTGCACTGTGAACAATTTCAATACAACAGCATGCATCCAACAGCATACCATATTGTATGAAACAAATTCAGTGAAGGGAATGTTATAATAATAATTACCTTTGAGGTGAAGTTGGTTTCAGAAGAATGTGTGCAGCTTGAAAAGCAAATGTTACTAATATTCGGTAATCTTTAAACCTCTTCTGTAGCAGTAATAATAGAGGATTTTGCTTGGCTGACAACACGTGTAGCCATTTTATGATATCATATCTCTCTAAGGCTCAGATTGTACTAGCAGCAATTTTTATCATAGCAACTGGAATGGCTAGATGCCTTTAAACATGTAAGAAATAGCTGACTATTTTCCATAACAATTTGTCATTGTTCTTAACCTTCATTTTGCCTCTGGATAATAACAGTTTTTCCTGTTTAAAAGAAGTAATTCATTAAAGGCATTCAGTGCAGTATTTAGGGTTTGGAAACCTGATTTTCCAAAGCCTATATTCTAGTCATTTATCTACATACTGAGTTGAAACCACACTATCCCAATGTATATTGACCCTCATGGAGCAAAACTTCCCAAAATTCTGACGGAAAATGGTTACTGGTAGGGCCCTGGGCTGATTTTTATGGTACCACCCAGAAAATAAAGGACTCATCTTGGGGCTTGTTTCTGCAGCTTCAAATGCTGATTTAAATGTGCTAATGGGAAGCAGTACTATGTGTCACAAACATTCCTTATTCAGAATATTTCCAGTTTTGCTACCCTGAAATTGCATTGGATGCCTTTAAGAGATGATACATGTACTATATTCAGAAACTTTTCACACCTCCCGTGATAGGTACATGTAAGGCTTGAACTGTAAGCATATTGACATATATGTGACTGTGTACATTGTTACAAATTAGCAACAATGGCCGTGTCTATACGGAATCACCCAAACCGCGATTCGGGTAACTCACATTCCTCACATCTATGGTCTGCCGAATGCCGACGTGGTCCCGCCAGAGGCGGTGAAGCTCGCCCTAGAACGGACACATTATTTGACCATTACTGCTCTTTAAGTTGCTGCCACGTAAAAGTTGGTATTGCATAATAAAAAAAGAAATATCACTCCGTAATCCATGACCAGGCAAAGTCACATTGAAATCACATTGCGTTCAGACCCAAATCGCGATGCGGGGAAACCGATTCGAAACCACCTCTAGAAGTGGCTTGGGATCGAGGCGCTTTCAATGTGATTTCGGAGCGTTCACATGGAGCCACTTTAACCGGCTTCGGGGTAAACCACATGTAAACCGCCTTGGGTGATTCTGTTTAGACACGGCCAATATACCAGTGGGCTGCACTCATGTGCCACCTGTTACAGACTCTCTCTGCTATTGGCTACTTGCACAGCTTATTTGCATACTAATCCCTGATTGGTCAGGCACAAAAGCATCCCACTGGCCAGCAGGAGGACTGCTTTGTCTCCTCGATCCCTCGGGCAAACAGTTTGATCAGCTGGCAATGGACTCTGCAACAAGAACAGGACATTTTCAGTTTCACTGCTGCAGCAGCAGCTATTTCTGCATGACAAGTAATAATTAAATTATAATAATTACCACCGGGAAGAAGATATCCTTCCCCGGAAGGGTCAAGTAAAGTGGTTGACGTTTTCATGTTTGCAGCTGTATCTCTCAGTGTGGTGGATGGATTTGTCTGGGACTCTGTATACTATACGTTTTGTTATTCGACTGCAGATGATTGCAAATTCTTTTTTAAAATTGTATAATAATCGACAGTTATAGAATTTTGGTCTTGAACTAAGAACCCATATCTTAAAGATAATATATGATATGTATAGTATACTAAGAATTTCTGTCTTGGGGAAAAAGATATGCATTCTTGACACTCCGGGTGAGTATCACTCTTGTAAGTTAGAAAAGTAGTCTTGGTGTATAAGAGTCTAAAGCATTTTTTTGTATCAATAATTTCAGAATTTTCTTGTTTTTGTAATTTAGAAAGTTTGAGCAATCATGTTGCAGGTGTTGAAGGTACATTATAGTTAATCTAATTTATCAACAGCCAATCAGCAAGAAGGACACAGCCTCTAACCTTTTTTTTAATGCGAACATAAAGTGATTTACAGTATGACAGAAAATACGGTATTCAGTCATTTAAATAATTTCAGTCAGTCACTACCATCTATTTCAACATTATTGTATTGACTATACCCTACATGTAAATGTGGTTATCATAGAAACAACTGAACACTACTTTCTACATGACATTGTAAACTTTATTCCAGTCAAAGAGGTACTCTGTTATCATCTCTCTCCAACATAGTAGAGCTACAGCATCTCAATGACAGTTCCCAATGTTCCTTACTACATATACTTTGGGGGTCCACATCACTCTCACACCTACAAAACTGTAATGTTTTTGATGTAGTCCAAAACTTCATCTACTGTACGGCTAGATTCTCATAATTGATAGATCACCAACTTGTCTTTGTTTGTATTTACCTTCATTGGTTTTATCCATCTTGTAATTATGCAATGTATCTTGTCAATGACTGTGTTTTATACTCATTGTATGCTTTTGAGTAGAAGGTGTTATATATTAAGTAACTTTTGCTTTTTGTGCAATACTCAATAAATATAAGGCCACACCAATTTAATTTCTTGGTTAACGGATTCGCCGCTTCATTTTTTTCTGATTTGCAAATAAAAATAAAAATCCAGAATCAACTGCAAAATGCTCATATTTTGCCCTGAACAGTTGAAAACAGTCCTTTTCATCCTAGTTGTTATAATAGTTATTCCATCTTTCAATGCAATGGTATCATTAAAAGTTCAAAATTCATTGTTTAAATTTTGAACCAGCCTGGTGTGTTGACTTCATGGCTCCTATCGTACCATTTTGGGCCATAATATGATGCCTAAAGGCCTGTTTTTATTTTTATTTTTTTTTCCGCCCGCCCGCTCCATTATTTTTCTAGAAAAATCCGTTAACCAAGAAATTAAATTGGTGTGGCCTAATGTGAATAAATTTAGTCGCTCACTTGACGTCGACTGCCGGCTGGTCGATGATTTCTCCGTCACAGTTCCACACGCTGTTCCGTCGTGTGTTCCGCCGACGGTTCCGCCTGGATAACACCCCCGCCTCCTCATCCTCCACCTGCTCATCCTCAGTCTCCTCAATAATCACCGGCCGGAACTTAAACTCTCGCACTCTGTACACTTCTATGAAGCTGTGGTTGAACTGCAAAACAAACCATCACTTTCATTATACATACAATGTACATTGTACATTTGTACATTTAGTGTGGCGAGCTTACAGTTCCAAGAAATGATAAACATATCATGTAAGTGGTCATTGATAGTCCTCTAGACTGCTACCATTAATTACCTGTAAGTCCTGCACCACAAAATTTAATGTAGAAATTTTTCATAAGAGTATCCAGTACTCTCTTATAAACCTGTAAGCATTATCATGGGCTGCTATCACATCCCATCATCATCTTCCCATATCATCATCCACATCATCATCATCCACATCATCATCATCCACATCATCATCATCATCCACATCATCCTCTCATCATCCTGACGTACCCTGTCAGAGTCGGTGAGATGTTTGAGCAGATGTCCCAGGAACCTGTATCGTGGCGTGGCGTGGATCAGGATCAGGTCCGTGCAGCCGTCAGCCAGGTGTGCGGCGGGAGACACGCCCTTCGGAGTCTTCTTACAGGCACAGGAGTTGGTGGCAGCATTGATGGCGATGAAGCGACCGCGAACCCGCTGCCAGCCACCTGGTCCTGAGGAGGGGAGCCGACAAACATGTCACAATTAGTGATGCATACCGGTTCACTGGACTTGGATCCGGACTTAAAAAATGTTTAGGTTCAAGTCCAAAAAAACCTAAAAGTCAAGAACCGAGTCCGGACTTATTACCATAAAAGACCATTTCACATACCCTTTTCTTTCCAAACCACCTAAAACCTTCCGTAGATTGTAAAATCTTTGCTGCAAAACAAAGAAAACATTGCCATCGGGCATCGTCAAGTACCGGCCTCCATGTTATGTCACCAAAGTTTCACCCAGACAACATTGCAAGGTTGCCAACATGCAATTTTGTATATGCCATGGGTTTAGGTCTGGACTTACAAGTCCGGACCTGAACCTAAACCTCTGGACTTAAATCCGGACCTGAACCTGAAATTGGGTTTAGGTATGCATCACTAGTCACAATGTTCTACTAGTAGTAAGAGCAACTTCTTGGTGAGATACAGGAGGATTGTAAACAGTTTTACTTACTTATGCTGCACTGATTTTATGGATGAAATCTGAGCATGATTAACACCTGTTCTAAGTAGAGAAAAATATTCCTCCGAAGGCTCTAGCCTGGGTGCCATCCTCCGTAGTCCATGGAGCTAGTGACAATAGGGAGCCGGCGGTAACTACAGAGGATGGCACCCAGACTGCCGAGGCTCCACTGTATTGAAGTCTGTATTATGTATTTTGTTTTATGGCTTCATATACCTGAAAGGAAGAATTAAGGAATTTAAGAATGAATGAATAAATGAGTCAAGAACCTACCAAATGTCTCCACAGCACGAGGCTCTTCTGAGGGGTTAAACGGGGTGGGCTTGTTCTTCTCTCCAGCCTGCTTACACACAAGGCATCTGTAAAATTGTTCCATGGGATACTTTTAAATGTGTCAGGTTAGAAATGCATGCGCCAGGTTAGAAAATTCGGACACCGGATTCGGATGTTGGAATAGATGAAAAATAAGTTCAATTCTTTGTGTTAGAAATTACAGTTTTAACTTCTTATAAAATTATTTATTAATGAGAAACTTAAATGGATCTGTTGGCCACTTTTCATTAAGGTTATGAGGTTAGACCTAAAAGTCATCACTATTAATAATAAAATTAATAGTGATTTAAAAAATATGTCCCATGCCTTACCCTTCTGTGCATCTGATCTGGTCATAAGGGCTGCTGCCTTGGTCTGCACATGGCAGGAATGCCACTTCTCCCTCATAGATTTTCCTTCTACAGAACTTTTTGAAACCGGAGTAGTCATATCTAGTGGGACCCATCCACCTGCGCAGGTCACTGTCTCTCACCACGTCGCCATAGAAACCGTAGCCCAGGAAGGACACGTTGTACCTCAGCAGCTGGCTGCGGTAGTGAACCGAGGAAACGTCCAGAGGCTGGCAGTCACCTGGGAAATATCAGCACACGGCAGGAAGGTTAGACATCCAGGTAATAAGATATGCCAACAGGGCTCGAAATAACTTTCTTTTCAGTTACATGCATATGCAAAATTGCATGTTGGCAGAATATTTACATGCAATTTAAAGAATCTACAAAAATGTACATGCAACAAAATACATAACTTGTATGTACATGACGAAGGATACCACATTCTTATGATACAGGGAAATATTTAGAAACATACAAGTAACTTAGTGGTTGCACTCAGAAGAAATGAGATGCATGCCTGCAAACATTATGAAATTCGATAGACAATACATGTGTACATTTAATATTTGATACAATCATTAATAAATTAATTAATTAGGAAAATCATCTAAGAAATAGGAAAGGAACACCCTATATTTCAAAATGAGTATTACAGTGCTGTGATAGCAACATCTGAAGGGAACTCCGTCATATACATTGTACAAACAGGTATATTACATGTACATTTATGTTCAACAATGCATGACGTCCAGAATATTTTACATGCAAATCTTGAAAACCACATTCGAGCAAATATTATTGCAAGTTGCATGTGGGTATTTCGAGCCCTGTGCCACAAAACAGTTACTCAAGCAACTGAACTTTGGTGTCAGACATTTCCATAGGAGTAGGGAGGAGAGGGCTACGGGCAGAACTCTCTAATCTGGCACTTGAAACTTACATGTAGCACTCCCAACCCCAAGGACAGACAACACTTACATGTAGGCTCCTGTTCTGAAACAACAGGAGCTATTTGAATCACTGTGCATGAACCTTGTTTTGACTAATTGGTTAATACTTTTCTTTCTATTGAAATCATAGATTGTCTTTACTTTATTTGCGTGTCAAGGAACAGTCTGTGATCATAAACCTGTTGATCTTGACATGAGATCTCACTAGTAACTGATGAAAGGTACTGGATACTACATTGTACATCTCCATAATCATATCCTGGGCTGGAGTTGCTTACCTGTAACTGTTTTTTGGTCAATATCAGGTAAAGCGGTTGAATTGGAGAATGACTTTATATTGCCCAAAGAAGAAGTGTGCTTGTAATAGAAGGCAAGACATGTTCATCTTCAGAATTTTTTTATTGGATATGCAGCCATAAAATTGTCTTTGTGCTGGTGAGGTGGGACATTTAATGTGCACGAGGAGTGGCTTTACTCAAACAAAGGACCTCCGGTTTTAAGTCCCATCCGAGAGGATGTCTCTAACTGAAGCTAGGTACTCATTTACACCTGAGTCAAGTGAGAAAATAGCTGGTAAGTGTCTTAATTCCCAAGGACACAACTTAGGGGCCAGCCAGGGATTTGAACCCAAAACCTTCGGATTCTGAGTCAACAAATCCTAACCGAAAGACCACCTTGCCACCTTTGAACTGTTAACTGCATTAGTTCAAAGAGACATTGATTTTGGCAGATAACACACCGAACTATAACACTTTCCATTTAACTGTCGCCACTCAATTCACTTCACAGAGGTCAAAACAAGGTCACCGGTTGCTCACATTGGATTTCATGGCAGCGCTCTAAGCCAGATGGCTTCTGCTCAATAGCACTTAATAGATTTCTATTACAGTAAGTAAAGGTCTTTTAGTCAATACTTCAAGCATTGAAATCAATTAAGGTTATCCCCCATAAAATGATTTTTCTCGGTATGAGAGCATCTGGGGAAATGATTACATTGATGCAGATGACAATTTGTAGATTATTTCGACCTGGTTTTAACTTGCTGCCAAAGTCTATTCTTTTATTGATTTCATTTTGAGCCTGGAAAGTAAGTAGAGACCTCTATCTTGAGACAGCTGAACTGCAGTTGATACTAGTATAACCTATCATGCCTCTAGCCAGCATTCGTCTTGTCCTCATTAATTTTGCTGTTTATGATGGACAAAAATATCGTACAACTGGCCAATCTTTTTTTTCATGATCGATGACAGCCAAAAATTTTGTTCATCTTTCACGTCCAAAATTGATGTGTGTAAAGATATGGAGAGAGATGTAATCTGTCTAAGGCAAAATTTGCTCCTCAAAATTCAAGGAAAATTTATTAATAGTGTTTCAGAGGGTCAAACTTTCACGAGGGAGCATGCCCCCTGTCCACTGTAGGATTGTCCTGTAGCATTTGACAATGACATTAGTCAAACAAATTGAGATGATGAAAAAAGTTTCATTCTGGCGAGAACACTGCTCTATGTTCTGATTGCTTTCTTACTCCTATTAGGCCACGCCAACTTAATTTGTTGGTTCTCGGATTCGCCTCTTCGTTTTTTTCTGATTTGCAAAAAAAAAAAATTGATTCTGGTCCTGAATCAACTGAAAAATGCTCATGTTTTGCCCCCAACAGTTGAGGAAAGTCCTTTTCTTCCTAATTGTTACAGTTTTCCCATCTATCATTGCAGTGGTTTGATTAAAAGTTCAAAATTCAATGTTTAAATTTTAACCCAGCCTTTTGTGTTGAATTCATGGCTCATTTTGTAGCATTTAAGCCTATAATAGGATGCCTAGATCTGTTTTTATTTTATTTTTTTCGCCCTGTCGCTTCATATTTTTTCTGAAAAAATCCGAGAGCCAACAAATTAAATTGGTGTGGCCTTAGATGTGAATTTCAAAAACAGACTTGCTCACCAATAATGATGTGCAGTGCTGAGGTGACTGGGTCATTCACACCGACTGTGGCATAAGAAACAGCATCCGTAGACCCTGCAATATACAAACACAAATTAAAATATATTGATAATGATCAGCAACAATATACAATGTAGAGTCCAAAAGGATAATCCAGTACAGTAACTGTAAATTAATTAAATTTTATATTCATGGTACTTTCATATTTGCAGTTTTCATAGTCACCGCAAACTATCATTACTGTACCGAATTTAACGTCATTTTTCCCCAACCGGGGGTTAGACGTGCTTGCACCAAGTACAAGTCTTTTTTTGAAGCAAGATTTTACTCTGATTGAACAAATAATTTGTGGACTTTCTTTCTTCTGCACCTGCTGCCATTGTGAACATATAACAAACATGTCCATTTTTCTCAGACTGCGAGAGTTTGCGACAAAGCTCAACGCTAAATTTTGAGAGCCGGCTACGCATTACGTAATTCAGGAAGCCTTCTACATTTTACAATAAATTCTTGGTAGCTACAATGCATTACGTAGAATCATAATGGTGAATTATGCTCTATGCAAAATCCGCCAATTACTGTATGTTCTACCTTGAATTAGAGCGGTCCATCTACGCTCTACGTACATGGAGAATTAAAACGGCTGATTATGCTCTACGGCAAAGGCCATGCGGGCCCCCATTGATTGATGCAACAGCCAGCAACTGTATCATTTCCCAGGTGGGGCCAGCAGTATTGGTTACCAAGCCCAGGTAACCCTTCTTCTGTTTATCTTCATTTTGGTATTACTTTTCAGGGTTGGACAAGTTTGCAAAAATCCACTTGCCCTATCGGGCCAGTACATGGTCATTTCCACTTGCCCGAACCAACTTTACTTTTCACTTGCCCGAAATATGACGTATTTCTATGCATTTTACTTGCAGAAAGAAAATTAGTTTATTTTTAAAATAAAAAAAAAGTTGCTTGCTTTATTTACCAAAATAAGGGTACTTAGAGAGACTTTTCGGATAAAAGGGCATATTTTTTACTTTTATCAATACAATATCTTTATTTCAAAATGATGTGTAATTGTGCTCCAAACATTGCATCAAAAAAATTTACTTGCCCAATTGGGCAAGTATAGGGGGATATTCACTTGCCCGAACTGTACTTTTACTTGCCCTGGGCAAGTGGGCAATGGGACTTGTCCAACCCTGCTTTTAAAGTTGACAATACCTGTGAGTCAATGCCTAAAGTCTGTTTCATCTACAGGATTTAAAAGCAGGAAGTCTCATTTGAGCCCCTGGCTTTACATGTTGTTCAGAAGGGATTGTTTAAAGATATCCTGTGCAATTTCCGGGTGGCGAAACTGAGTTTTTCAAAGTCAATTTCCTAGACTATTAGTCATTCTTTTGATGAATCAGATACTTAGCATTATCTGTGAGGCATATATGTGACATCGCTGACAGAGAAAGTAACTGAAAAGTTTGTTCATATTGTAGGCTGGTTCTAGCTACTCGTACAATCATTATATTTATTGGTGGTACAAAAAATAAATAGACTAGCTGACTCCTCACAGTTTTGTTCTATCAAAAGGACTAATTCATAGGCTTCAAGTTATTATAAATGATGAAAATGCACAGTTTTGTCACTCTCTAGCCAGCACCCGGTTTTCCTTCAATTACTGGAAATTTGCAGTGACAGAAAAAACAATCTGTGAACCTTGATGGACAAATCAACAAAAATCTTGGTTAAAATATTTTTACCTCCGCAGGAAATTGAGGTTTTTAAGGCAAAAAATTTTGCAGGGGAGCATGCCCCCGGACCCCATAGATTGTTAGCTCCTACGGCCCTCCCCTAGCCTCAGACTAAATATTGCTTTCCGCTGGCTTCCATATAGTCATGGGGTGGCGGCTCTCTGAGCTTCTGTAACACAAGCTGCAAGTCCACCCTCCACCCACTGGTCCAACCATGAACCTGCCAGTGGGCTGACAGAAAAAAATTTCAATCTGGCTAGAGCCTTGTTTTGACACTGACCCTTAAAGTGCATTGGGTAACATCTGTGTCCATAATATCACCAGGGTCCATAATATCGCCACCTTGAGAAATAGTGTGCTTGAAGATATTTTTACTGCAACATACTTTTGGTATGCACTCCTGCACACCTCAAATGTACATACACTGTACCTAAGGCCACACCAATTTAATTTCTTGGTTAACGGATTCGCCCGCTCCATTTTTTTCTGATTTGCAAATAAAAATAAAAATTCAGAATCAACTGCAAAATGCTGATATTTTGCCCTGAACAGTTGAAAACAGTCCTTTTCTTCCTAGTTGTTACAGTTATTCTATCTTTTAATGCAATGGTGTCATTAAAAGTTCAAAATTCATTGTTTAAATTTTGAACCAGCCTGGTGTGTTGACTTCATGGCTCCTATCGTACCATTTTGGGCCATAATAGGATAGGCCTGTTTTTATTTTTTTTTCGCCCGCCCGCTCCATTATTTTTCTAGAAAATTCCATTAACCAAGAAATTAAATTGGTGTGGTCTTAGCAATAATTTTTTAAATTCAATGAGGTATCCCAGCATAATGCACCAGTTCCTTCAGATGGCCTCCTATAGATTGAGGTCTTCACTGACTTCACTTCCTAACAATAAAAGATAGCAGTACATTATATTCCTGACCTGACAAGACAAATGGACCAATTGTCAAGAAGTAGGTCTTACTGCAATGGAGGAAACTGTCTAGAACAAGCCGTGATATAATTATGGAAAAACGTTTTAATTATGGACTCCCGCCCATAAATCCCAAACGCTTAACCCAACTGTCTTAATACTTTTTATGGTAATATATTAGGTGGTAATGAATATGCGGAAAGCGTTGATGAGTCCCTTGGGAATAGTCCAATTATACATAATTATACTATAATTATGTATAATTATACATAATGATTTTGGTATTATCTATAATTATACATAACCCTTAGGACCGTTATACATAATTATAGATAACCCTTTGGACCATTATACATAATTATACATAACAGTTTGGACCATTATACATAACCCTTTGGACCATTATCTATAATTATACATAACCCTTTGGACCATTATACATAATTATACAGAACAGTTTGGACCATTATACATAACCCTTTAGACCATTATACATAATTATACATAACAATTTGAATCATTATACATAATTATACATATTTATACATAATGTCTATGACCATTACATATAATTATACATAACCCCTGCACTTACATCATGCAGTTATCCATAACTTTGGGATTATACTTCTGAATAGAAGCACAGGGAGTCTTATTTGCAATGATTTCCATCCATACATGTACCTGTTTACAACTCAACTCAACTCAGTCAAACCTGCTCAAGCCAGCCACCCAGGGGACCGGAGAAAAACGGTCGGGTTGGACAGGTGGTCTGCTTGAAGTGGGTTTATTCTCC